AGTTGAAGGCACTGGTGTGCGCCGCTGCAAATTTCCACCAGCAATACATTTTCGACCGCAAGTACCTACTCTGTACATGCCTCGAGCGGACGTTGGACAGCGTGACTGTGGACGCTTATGCCGTTCATCTATCCATGGCCCAGAGAGAAGACCCGAAACAGGACATCACGGACTTCCTCAAGACTTATGAGGAGGACACTTCGCGGCGACGATTATCACTAGTCGATAAGCTTACTCAGGAGGAAGCTATAAGCATGACTAGCTTCTACTTTCGATACGTAGAACCTCTCGCTGAAACCTATACTCGCTGGATGCTAGCCAGTCTCGATGAAGCCAGGGAAACAGAAGATATTCCTCACAGCCACCAGCAAATCGATACACCGACCAGCACAGAGACGATGCGAGTGACACGGGCCATATATCGCTTCCAGCTACTTTGTAACCTTGCTGGTCCTTGTGAAAACACTCTCTTGTCGGCTCGAGATCATCTGAATGACGTAGTGGAGACCCTTCTGGACATATTGGAACCATGGGAGGTTGAGGAGCTCTTTTCGTTCTACCAATTTGCTGAGGGCGTGTACGACAAAATATTCAAGGACATCGGGTGGGATTTGCATCCAGATAACCCAAAGTTCAACGACCAGGGAAGGCCTCCTACTCCAGATGGAGCATTTGATCTGGATGGCTTTAGTAAGTCCAGCATCACCACGACCAACATCTCTGTGTCAGGCAGCCTTTACGCTTAACGTTGCTAACATCGTATGCAGACCGTGGAGTATATCTAGAAGGCACAACGTTACAAGGACTTCCTCTCCTTCGTACCGTGCTGTCCTCCAAGATCAAGGATCGCGCACATCTCGTCTCCACGATGCAACAGCATATTACAACCTCGTATATCCCATTCAATGCACTCGAAGGCGTGCTTGGTGAAACACAACAGGCCTTGCGGCGCCAAAGCCACGCATCGAAGCATGAACAAATGCAGAACGCTCCATTTCCATTCCGAGGAGACGGCGAGCCTGACGCTCCATCACTCGCTTGGACCATGATCTGGGGTGGTACGTACAGTGACCTGTACGGTTGGTACATCTCGGATGACTTGCGGCGATGGGGCTACGTCTTTTGGGATGGGGAAACATTAGAGCGAACCGGGGGAGCAAAGGTGCTCATGCGCCAATGGAAGGAGTACTGGGATGATGATCCTAGAGATAGCTTGCCATAGAAGGCTTAGTTTACCACTCAACGCGGACATCGGAGGAAGCCTTCGAAGGAGGATGGACAGCTGACACTTGAAACAGTTTACGGATGGCCCCAATGGTGCCAGAGGCTCACATTTCCACGCCGGGCCCTCGGCAGCATGTTTTCCCGCCTCGGTCATGTTGGCCGCGACCTTCGACGAGGACATCTGTGAGGAAGTTGGAAGAGCGATTGCTCAGGAGGCGATGACCAAGGGCGCCTCCGTCGTGGTAAGTCGTTTCCGTCCGAGCGGCGACTTCAAAGTCCTGCGGTTGACAATACGTACGTGCTTCAGGCTTGGACCAACGGTGTGCCTCCATAGATCTCCTCTGGGCGGGAGAAACTTCGAATCGTTTTCGGAGGATCCATTGCTCACCGGACGACTGGCAGCGAGGTACGTCGCTGGAATGCAGGGTGAGTCGGTTGGCGCTACGCTCAAGCATTACGTCGCCAATGAGCAAGAAACACGTCGGTTCACGATGAATATCAGCGTCAGCGAGAGGCCGTTGAGAGAACTGTATCTGAAAGCCTTCGAAATTGCTGTGAAATCTGCCCATCCTTGGGCTGTGATGTCAAGCTATAGTCTTGTGAACGGAATTCATATGGACTCTCATGAGGATCTCCTTCAGACTGTATTGAGGGATGAGTGGAAGTGGAATGGCGCAGTAGTGAGTGATTGGGGAGGCACCAATTCGTGCGCACCTTCTATCAAGGCAGGCTTAGATTTGGAGATGCCTGGACCCGCAGAACAGCGTCGACTTAGTAGTGTGAAGGCCAGTATTGAGTCTGGGGAGTTGAAAGAGGAAGCAGTGGATAGCCGCGTCAGGAACCTCTTGACACTACTAGAGAGAGTCGACAAGTTCGGCTCTAGGAGATCCACTCCTGAAGAACAAGAGATCGATCTCCCTAAGCACCGCACTTTGATAAGAAAGGTTGCCGCAGAAGGCATCGTCCTGCTCAGGAATGAAGGGAACATCCTACCTCTAGCAAAGGACAAGTTGAAATCAATCGCCGTATTGGGTCTTGCGAAAGAATGCCTGGCACACGGAGGAGGCTCGGCCAAAGTCAATTGCCATTATAAGATCACGCCCTGGGAGGCGTTGAAGACACATCTTAGAGAGGATTTCGATCTACGCTTTGAACCAGGTACGTGGCTGACCCGACTCTTGACTTCTACCTATTGACAAGACTTTGAAGGCGCACACATCTTTCGCAATCTCCCAGATTGGGTCGATGATTTGAGTCTCACTGAAGGGAGACCCGGCGTCGAGGTTGCGACTTACGCAAGCGCCAATATGTTACTCAGCCCAATAGAAATATCGAGCTCGGCGAAGCTTGGATTCTCTGGCCGTGGATGCGCAGCAGCTAAACTCCGAGCAGCGTACGTCCCTGCTCACAGCGGTCGTCACTATCTAAGCTTGGGCGGTTTGGGCAGGTCGACGCTGCGAATCAACGATAAACTTGTCCTCGACACGAGGGTCGATTGTCAAGACAGCATGGCCTTCGTTCTTGGGGGTGCCGTGGATGAAAACTGTCAATATCATTTCAAAGCTGGTGTCTCCTACGATATCCAGGTCGAATCTTACGCGCCAAAAGACGACGATCCTCACCGCCTATCGCTTCTGAAGAATCTTGTCTCAGTGCGAGCAGGCTTCATGGAGCAGCAAGAGTACGAAAAAGACTTGATCTCGCCGGCGGTCGCAGTAGCGAAAGATGCAGACGTGGCAATCGTGTTTGTAGGTAATACTCCCGTCTGGGAGACCGAAGGGCAGGACCGGGAGACCATGAGTTTACCAGCACATGGGTCACAGGACCGTCTTATTGAAGCTATTTGTTCGGTCAACAGCAATGTTGTAGTAGTCAATTCAACTGGCAGTCCAATCAGTATGCCCTGGCTAGAAAAGACGCTCGCTGTTGTCCAGGCCTGGTTTGGCGGTCAAGAAGCGGGAAATTCGATTGTGGACATCCTCTTTGGCCTGAGTAATCCGAGTGGCAAGCTACCAGTGTCTTTTCCAAGGACTATCGAGGACACACCATGCTACAAGAATTTCCCTGGAAACGTCGATAATGTTCAGGTCTCTTACGAAGAAGGCGTATATGTTGGATATCGTCACTACGATAAACATCCCAGCAAGGTGCTCTTCCCCTTTGGATTCGGTCTCTCATATACTACGTTCAAGATCTCAAGTATGTGGCTTTCAAGGTCGAATGTCGGCAGGGGGGACCGTCTCGATGTTAAAGCTACGGTGGAGAACACAGGCAAAGTCGTCGGCTCGGAAGTCGTCCAAGTGTATCTTTCGAGTCCGGGGAAGTCAATTGACGTACCGCTGAAGCAGTTAGCTGGTTTCAAGAGGATCGAGGTGTCACCTGGCAGCAGTCAAGAGATTGTCATCTCGATCAAGGTTGAGGACACTGCCTACTGGGACGAAACTTCGCATGTGTGGGCCGTTGAAGAGGGAGAATATAGAGTGCAAGTGGGGAACTCGACTCAGAACATTGCCTGCGAGGCTATGTTTACGGTTGACTCGAGCTTTACGTTCGAACCTTGACCGTAGCCAAGTCGCACATCTGAGCTCGTGTACCTAATTTATTCGAATTTTCATGTGAATTAAACACAACGCAATAGAATCCCAGGACTTGAACCTGTCACGCGATACTCAGACACTTCCTCATTGCCTGCAGTCATCACCGATATAACTTCCATCTTTGTCACACGACAGAATGGAAGGAATGTCGTTTTGGCAGGGAGTGGCCGGGCTCCTATTGAGAAGGTCCAGGCTGCTCTTCCAGCTCTAGGACAGCTATGGGTAGTACAGAGAGTCAGGTCAATGCATTTTCCACTAAATTTGAGGCTCAGCTCTTTGAGGCGGATTTGAGCTTATTCTGTCACCGATTCCTTCACTGTTGTTAATTATGTCATTCTTCTCATACACTTCGGTCTTCTATAAGTACTGGCTCATTCTAGATCGCCATGACTTCCATTTCTCTTGCCCGCAAGAGAGTACACTTGCAGCGACACACCCTGCTTTCCCCTTACCATGACGTCCTTCCGAGAGCTCGTACTAGGCCTTTGTTTCCTCGGTGCTGCTTGCGCCAACAACACTTCCCAGCCCACAATACAATGGGGTACTTGCGCTGAGGACCTCGGTAGTGCCTTGCCAGTCGACTGTGGTCGTTTATTTGTTCCACTCGATTATAATCAACAAAATTCCGACGTCACTCTCAGCCTCGAGCTGTTAAGAGTTCCGGCACCTGTACAACCCGCAAAAGGCAGCATTCTTCACAACTTTGGGGGTCCAGGGGAGCCTGGTCGGGCGAAGTTAGTCTCTCAAGCCCCGCTGCTGCAAATGTAAGAATTTCGAATCTTGTCGAACAAGTATGCACAGTCTAATGGGGCCAATCTCAGCTTATCTGGAGGAGAATACAACCTCATCGCCTTTGATCCACGGTACGACGAATAACAATATAGAAACGAGAGAGTCACAACTAATTACAAGACAGGGGTGTTGGCAGCACGATACCATTCACATGCTACGATACGGAGTCCGATATTCAGAAGTTTATGCAAGCCCAGACATTTCCCAACGACGCGGATGAGGTGGTTCTCGGGAGACTCTGGTCACGAGCTACCGTGGACTCCAACGCTTGCGCTCGCAAACAAAATGAGACTGGGGCTTTTGTTAGCACAGCTTTCGTGGCAAGAGACCTCATGAATGTTGCGGAGGCTTTGGGCGAAGACGGAATGTTGAGATACTGGGGTCAGCATGATATTCAGCTCGGAAACGGGTTTGTCTTTGGCTAACGACCAGCACAGGATTCTCTTATGGCACGACATTAGGTGCAACATTAGTCTCCATGTTCCCTGACAAGGTCGATAAAGTAGTCCTGGACGGCGTGCAGAACCCGCATGAGTACTACAACGCATATGCGTACGTCATTGATGACCCACTTGCGACCAGTTTGATGCTTACATACAATTCCACGTTTATAGTGATTTTGAAGAGTGGACACAGTCAGATGAAGTCTTCTCTGGTATTTTCAAGGGCTGCGCCGCTAACCCCGAAGTCTGCCCTCTGGCTCGCGATAACGCTACAGCGGAGGAGCTGGAGGAATCTGTCTGGGACCTCTTCGACAAGGTCAGGACCCATCCTATTCCTGTCGGGAACTGGCTCATCGACGAGACTGTCTTGCACAATATGGTGGCTCAGAGTTTCTATTCGGCATCCGCTTGGCCCAACCTGACCACCGCACTCTACATGCTGCTTTCTGGCGAAATAGATGAACAGTCCATCATAGACTTTAGTGGGGTTGAGTCTCTCGAGGCACAGGGAACATTAAGCATGTCTACAATAGGTATTCATTGCTTGGACCGAGCGGCGAGAGCCAAGACGTGGGACGAATTTTTGCCTGCTGCACACCTTATTATGAACACAAGCAAGGCTATGGGAGGTGCCGCAATGAGTCTTAGCATGGCATGTGCTCAGTGGGACATCGATCCAACCGAACGTTACCAAGGCGATTTCCAAGTCCGTACAAAGAATCCGATCCTCGTAATGGGAAACTCTTATGACGCTCATACGCCCATCCGTTCCGCGCACAATGTCAGCTCGGGCTTGGAGGGCAGTGTTGTACTGGAGGTCGATGGATACCGCGTAAGTTTTCCCCCTCGGCTTTTCTTTGCATGTCATTCTACCGAAATCTGACCCCTTGGATCATAGCTTACTGGTGTTATCAACCCTTCGGCGTGTACTTTTCGAGGCTCTTTCAAACTACTGGTTGAATGGTACCCTACCTGAGCCGGGGACTGTTTGCAAGGTGGACGCCCCGCTCTTCTCCAACATTACCTGGGACGACGTTATTGAGAAGATTACTGGAAAGAGTGCCACTTGAGCGACGAGTTTGGATGGCTAACCCACAGGTTCCGGGATCGTGCTCATCCACTGGACACAGGTCAATCATTGGTCTTATACCGCTAGAGCCGTATGTACTGTTTCTGAAATGTTGACTTGGGAAAACTCGATGCTCGCTTGCTAGATAGGGTAGCCGAGAAGTCATACGATTAATCTATCAACTTATTACCGCGTACTTAGCGAGCTGGCCCGGAGTGGACAGGCCGACTTCCTTTTTTGTTCATGCAATGACCTCTACTGCATCTGGAATCTCTACAATTGGTGTAAGCGCCAGAATTCCCGAGATTTCTTCGACGATGGCTTTCCCTCCTGATGCAAGCCACCACATGGCCTTGTCCTGAGCAGCTCGATCTAGAAGCACACCGTAAAGCAGGAGGATGAATAGCGCCATGGGTTCCATGACTTTGACAGCTTGAAAGAAACTTTGATCCACTGCTGTAACAATCGAGAAGCAAGACCCCCTAACCCTGCCCCTGCTATCCTCCGCGAAACAATGTTTAATATGAGCAATGGCAATACGATAAGTCTCAACGTCACAGGCCAGTGGATTCGGCGGTCCGGCATGCGCCTTCATGCCAGGAACACGAAACTGACAGCTGACAGAAGTGAGCTTGTCAAGAATAGCCTGTGTTGGGCCATCAACAAGGTCCATCGCCGTGGGGTCAAACTCCTCCATCACGCGCTTAAAACAGTTGGGCAGCCATGGCGCAGTGCTGACGAGCAATACGTATGCGCCCACGATCATGTCGAACAAAGCATTGAGACGTGCAAAGGCGCTCGGTGGTCCCGATGGAACAGAGAAGTTGAAGATTGCTCCGATCACAGCAAAGTGGTACAGGAAAGGGAGATCCAAATGATTGGTTCCTGGAGAACCAGAAACGATGATTGTCGTAATATATCGAGGGGCAACTGGTGAATTACAACGGGAAATCCGGAGCAGGAAATTTGGCATTCACGAGACGTTGGAATACGACTCATTATCGTGGTTGTGACCGGCCTCAGCAGGGACTTTACCGAGGGGCACGATTCCTTGCCAGTGATTTGGATCTGATGAGGGGGGTCGCGCCATTCGAAGGGTTCTATTTGAAATATTCTACTCTACAACATAAACCTTCATTTTAATTACTCAATCTTGATGGTATGATAGTGTGTGAGCATTGGCGCATCTCCACGGATTGATTGACCTGGACATTGAAACAGGGCAGCAGT